ATAGGAAAGTATCAAGGTGTCATACGTTGCGAACTCCTTTCTTTCCTCCTTCACATCCTCCGCCTTACTCCCACGAACTCCTCTTCTTCCCCTTCTCCCCTTTCTCTCCCTTCTCCCCTTCTCTTTCCACGCTGCTTCCACTCTTACCCAGACCTCTCTTCCCTCCTCCTCCTGTCTCCTCCCCCTCGTACCCTCCATCCTCCCCGTGCATTCCCGTGTCCCTGTCGGATTCCCCCTCCACAGTGCATCTGTCGCACCCCGCAGTCGCGGATAAGCGTAAGGGGGTGGCGGGGACGTCGGCAGTCTGCGAGGCTCTGAAGAAATTCGCCGCAGGAGCTTGATTTCAACAAATTATACAACGAGCCCGCCGCAGGCGCCGATTTCTCGTTAAAGCGATGTGGGTGGGTCGCGGGTGGGTCGTGGCCGGGTCGCGGAGAATCCGACGACAACAGTCGACAACACACACCAACACCAGTTATAACAACACTAGCAACAACATTCACACCAGCACCAGCAAGACCAACAACAACACCACCAACAACACCAACAACAAACACAGCACCACCAACAACATTAGCAACAGCAGCAGCAGCACCAGCAACAATCATGTTACGACTGCTTGCTCTCATCTGCTCGCGTGCCATTCAACACGTATATCCCGAACCCTCGATACCCGCCGTCTTCGTCTTCGGTCGCACCCACTTGGGGGTATCTATATCTTTCTTATCTGCAACGTGTATTTCGTGAAGCCCCCGAGACAGGGAAGAGAGGACGGATGGCAGGAAGGGACAAGGGCGAAGGAGGAGGATGGATCACGGGAGGGCGTGGCAAAAGGGGGGCTTGGGACAAAAAACACGTGGCAGAACCAGACGGGCAGATCGGGCGAATAGACCCTAACGGGCAGGTCGGGCAGGCGGGCAGGCGGGCCCAGGCGGCCAGGTCGAGCAGGGTGGTTGCTGAAGCGTGCGTCCTGCATGAATCGCGGGGAAGTCTCGAGCGATAGCGCGATTCCCAAATACACACTGAGGAAATCCACAGCGATAGCGTGGTTCCTGAGTGTCGGGGGCGGGGCGTCTGAATCCATTGCAAAGAATTCCCACGCGAGAGCGCGATTCTTGCATACATTGTATGGAAGTCCTGCGCGAGAGCGCGATTGGGAAATTGATTATGACGAAATATCAGGCAGGAGCCGTGTTGTTGTAAACCAGGGGCCAACAACCCAAATCTGAGACCCAAGACCTTTCCTTGTGTAAAAAACGAAGAACGGAACATGGGAGACATTTGCAGGAGGGGAGCAAAGAGCAGAAAACAAGTGGTACAACCAGAAGGGCAGACCGGGTGGGCAGACCCATAGCGGGCAGGTCGGGAAGGCGGGCCCAGGCGACCAGGTCGAGCAGGCGGGTTGCTGAAACGTGGGGCCTGCATGAATCGCGAGGAATTCTCGAGCGATAGCGCGATTCCCAAGTAAATCGTGAGAGAAGCCCAAGCGAGAGCATGATTTCTGAGCGCCGAGGGCGCATCGTCTGAATAAATTGCGAGGAGGTCCCACGCGAGAGCGCAATGCGGACGTGAATTGTGAGGAAGTCCCGCGCGAGAGCGCGATGTGGGATTACACTGTGAGGAAGTATCAAGCGGGAGCTGCTGTGATTGTAAGACGGGGGCCACGGGCGCAGATTGAGCCTGGTGACATTCCCTGATTCAAAACTGGGTGCAAGCGCTGGGGGAAGCATCTCAATTGAAAAACACAATGGTCACCGCGGGGGGGATCAACAATAGTTTTTCTTCAGTAGTGAGAGTTCAACAGCAACAACAAATCTTTTTACCCTCATGCGCGATTCTTCCACACGAAGCATGCGACCATCATGCTAACCATTCCCATCACGGGGGACTCTTGTTTTATAGCGGGGTCCGTTATTCCCATTCTCAGATCTCCCGCCCAATGGGGTCTTGCAAACACCTCCTCCGAGGAATTTCAACATATCCCACCTCAAAAATGCACGCCCGCGCCTTGCTGCGCCGATGCGAAACCGCCAGTGGAATCCCAGCCAAGGGTTAAGCACAAGGGAGTATCGAGCGACAGGATTGCCTTGGTGGTGATGGGGGTTGTCGGAGGCGAGGCAAAGACCTGGCCCTGAATAGAGAGGGAGGAAATCTGGAGCAGGGCCGGTGTCGTTGCTGCGAGCGGCGCCAATGCTGAAGAGAGTAGGGCGCCAATCCAGCGTAAAACAAAACGAAGTCTCGAGCGGGAACGCTGGTTTGGTTGGGACGGCGATTGTCGGCGGCGAGGGGGAACACCGCCTTGAGTAAAAAGGATGGAAGTCTCGTGCGGGAGCCGCGGTTGTGTCGGGACAGGGGCTGTCGGCTGCGAGGAACACGACCGCCCCGAGGAAAAAGGGAGGAAACCTCGAGCGGGTGCGTTATTCTTGCTGGGAGCGGCGCCGATTCAAAAGAGAGCATCCAGCGTAAAACGGGAAGAAGTCTCGGGCGGGAGCGATGGTTTTGTCGGGACGGCGGTTTTCGGCGGCAGCGAGGAGCACCGCCTTGAGTAACAAAGGGAGGAAGTCTCGAGCGGGAGCGTTGTTGTTGCTGGGGGCGGCGCCGATGAGAGACAGAGCAGCGCGCCAAATGTGAAACGGGAGGAAGTCTCGAGCGGTAGCGCGGGATTTGTTGGGACGGCGGCTTTCGGCGGCGAGCAAGAGCACTGGCCCTGAGAAAAAAGGGGGAAGTCTAGAGCGGGAGCGTTGTTATTGTTGTTGTTGTTGTTGTTGTTGTTGTTGGTGTTGGTGTTGTTGTTGTTGTTGTTGTGGTTGTTGTTGTTGTTGTTGTTGTTGTTGTTGTTGTTGTTGTTGTTGTTGGTGTTTGTTGTTGTTGTTGTTGTTGTTGTTGTTGTTGTTGTTGTTGTTGGGGGGCCGGCTTTGGCGCCCCCCCAAACCGCTCGAGCGTGAGCTTCAATTTCGATGAAAATGCAGCTGGCGCCGAGGCGAGAGCGTCAAAGCGCCTGGGGGGGGGGTCCAACAATAATACATGTTTTGTCATTAACATTCAACGACACCACCACCAACAGCAACAGCAGCAGCAACACCAACAACAGCAGCAACAGCAACAGCAACAGCAACAGCAACAGCAACAGCAACAACAACAACCCGCACCGCGGAACCTCACAGCAGCCACGCGCCCAGGGACAGTGAATGACCGCTCGGCCTCCTCGCTCTGAGTATTCTCTTCTCTTCCCCACAGACGTCCTGCGAGTGGCGCGCCCCCCTCCCAGGTAGTTTGTTCCCACAGGATTGGTACCCACATGGTGTTTGTTTTGTCGTATGCGTCGTTCGATTCGAGCGTTTTCTCTGGTCCTTCAACTGGCGCTCCCGCTGCAGCGTGGGCCTCATTTCCGGATCGGCCAGCGCGGGCCGCTTCTCTGAGTCCGAGTTATTCCTCATCGTTGTCTCCCCGCTCCTTTCCGCTCGTCCTTTCCCTGGTGCTCCTCCTACTCCTCCTCCCTCCGCCTCCTCCTCCTCCTCTTCCTCCTCCTCCTCCTACCCTTCCTCGTATTCGTCCTCCAGCTCATCCGCCATCTTTCCCCCCATCCCCCCCGGTGTACACAGCGCCCCTTCCCTTATCTGATTGCGCATCACACGATGGTGTCCTTTTTTGGAGTTCTAGGTCCACTATGTCATACGTCGGCGGACTCGTAACAAAACGGCGCATGGGAAGGGATGGGTAGGAGGGCTAGGATGTCAGATATGGCGCGAGCCTGTCTAGCTTGCCCCTCCCCCCTCCCAATCCTTTCAGGAGCCAGGAGGAGGAAGAGGGGAAGGAGGCCAAGGGGGAAGGAGGAGGAGAAGGAGGAGGAGGAGGAGGAGGAGG